ACAGCAAAAAGTAAAGAGTTCTGCACTAGCACAATGGCAGTCTAAGTATTCTGAAGTACTTTACCATTACAGAAAAACTGCATCCATTACTGGGCTTATAAAAAGGATGGGAAAGTCTCCAAGAAATACCCCAACACTACTACCTACCAAAAACATAAGCTGAGGCCTGATTGGGAGTTGTGGGCACACAAGGGAGGTAAAGTAACTGCATATAGATGCCAGTAGCAGCAGAGACATTGAAATGGGTCTTGTCATTGAGCTTACAGAAGTGGAATCACTGGGTCTGAAACTCCTGGGCAGAGCTCAGTTCTGAACAGGAGCTCCTGGTAGAAGGTGAATAAAGATTCTTTGGAAAAAAGAATTCCCCATTTAGACCCATAGGGGTACTCAGAGACTAATATCAAGCAATGAACTCCTAATCAAAGACCACAAAGCATAAGAAGAGGCAAATATATATATTCACAAAAGAGTAGAGGGAGTAAAGATTCAGACAAATAAGCAAATAACATTTAAAAAGTAGTAAAAAGAAACATGAAGAGAAAAGCAACAAGCAGAAATAAAATAGCAAGGTACAGATACAAGTCCGAATACATCAACAATCACAATAAATAATAAGTGGACTAATGGGAAATAAAAAGATGTTTTCAGACTAGATTTTTAAAAATATGCAGCTATATGATGCTTACAAAAGAAAACACCTAAATGAATTTCATGTTTGAACTTCGGTCCCGTCCATTAATCAATTTATACAAATTCTTCCCTAAGGATGAAAAATGAAGAAACACCCTTCAACTAATTCTATAAGAATTACATAACCTTGATACCCAAACCACACAAGAATATTACACAAAAAGAAAATTACAAGTTAATCTAACTTGTGTATATAGATGTAAAACCTCTAAAAACAATTAACAAATTGAATCAAGCTGGATATAAGAAGATCATTATATCACAGTTTGAGTTGACCCAAAGTCATTTAACATTATAACATCTATTGATGTCATTCACCACATTTACAGATTAAAGAAAACTATACGATCATCTCAGTAAATGTGTAGAAAAGGACATCTGATAAACTGCAACAGCAATTCAAATCAAAATTCTCATGAAAACTTCCTCAATCTGATAAATGGTATATATACTAAAAACTACAACAAACATTATGCTAAAGAAGTGTTAGAAACTTTCCCTTTAGAAGCAGCAATGAGTCAAAATATCCATTATCATCACTTCTATTCATTGCTACACTGTAGGTCCTTGGCCAGTACAGTAAGATAAGATAAACACAAATAAATAAAGGATTGGAATGGAAATTTAAAAAGTGATTATTATTTGCATAGGATATATCTGTCCACATAGAAAACCCAAAGCATTTAAAAGTAACATGTTGGCTGGCTACAAAATCAACAAATAGGAAAATGGCTATTAATATAAAAACTAAATCAAGCAATAAACAGAAAATGTAACTGCCTAAAAGATACAACTTATAAGGTGTCTACAAATATATCGAACAAAAATGTCCAAGACCTATTTGAAAATTCATTCAAAATATCAACAAAAATTTTTATGCAACATCAAAACCTAATTCTAAAATATATGTGGAGTAGCAGAGTATCCATAGTCCTGACATTCCTGAAAAAAAGAAGCATAAAGTAAAGGGATCTGTCCTACCAAATATAAAGGCTCATTATAAAACTGCTCATAATTATTTTTTTAAGAAGTAGCACTGCAGATCACTGGGGAAAGGAGAGACTATTTGACCCAGACTATAAATGGTCCTGGGTCAAAGGGGAAGGAAAAAAAATACTTCCAGATGGATTAGGAGCTTATATATAAAATGCGAGACTTTAAAAATCATTTTAAAAATACATTTTTGACACAAAAAGCACTATGCATAAAATAATAGATTGATAAATTCAAAATTTTGAATTTCTGAACCACTATAATAACTAAAAACATTTTAATAATAACCCCAAATGTTGGGAAAGTGTGGAACAACGATTTCTCAAACATAGCAGGCAGGTACAATTATTTGGAAAGCAGTTTGGAAGTTTCCTGTAAAGTTAAACATATACCTATTCTATGACCCAGCAGTTCTACTCTTTTTTTTTTTATTTCTGCATATTATGGGGGTACAGATGTTTAGGTTACGTATGTTGCCCTTGCCTCCCCCTCCCCCCCAAGTCTGAGTTTCAAATACGTGGATCCTTCGGGTGGTGCG